TATTTACATATATATATATATATATATATATATTTTTTTTTTTTTCTTTAAACTAAGACTCTAAGGTTTATGGCATGACTTTATAAGACAATCAGTAACCTTACACAGTAAAGACTTTACAAATGAATTGCTGTGGCCATGCAATTCACTAAGAGAAAGCGAAAATTTCAACTAATTATGCAGCTGTCTATAACAATCCACTGCTGTACCTTTTGTTTCTCTTTCCAGGGTGAATAAAAAAGCCCATAATGTGGCCTTTAAAAGAGACAATTTAGCTGTCACACATTTACCAGTCACACATCAACCAGTCAATTATGAACCATCAATCATTTAAAAAAGAATACAATCACGTCTGCTTTTAGTGGAAAGAAACGCACATATACAGTGGCTCCAAAAAGTATTTAACACCTGAGCCGCACTGCAATATTTAACAAAACATCAAACCAAGTGACATTAATTAAAAAAATAGCAGAAGAATGATTCCCAAGCAAAACATTTAACAAAAAAAAACTTCTTTTTTGTTTAATTTTAAAAAATGCCCTTCTTCAAGATGTGGCACACGTCTTTTTGCCGTCAAATAATTAATGATTTTTATAAACGAAACATAAAAGTAACTTTTAAAAATATTTCAAAAAATATTTTTAGAAACATTTGAACATTTAAGCTACTGGACTGAAGCAACTTAGGTTCACTTGATTAAGCATATGTCACTTTCTAGAAGAATCATGTTCAAATGTGAGTATCAAATATGATACATTAGGCTTTTGAGGAACATTTGTTTGTATTGCATTGTATTGCTTTATATATTTACTATAGTGTAAACATTGTACTATGCGAGCTATAGAGTGACAACTGATATCTGTATGTATATATCTGTATGTCTGTTATACTGCTATTAAGACTATATGAGCCATAAAAGCTGGATGCATCAAATATGATGCATAACAAAAATATATATACATAACAAAAAAAAAACCCCAACACATATTACCTTTTTTTTTAATTTTAGATTTTCAATAAATAAATAAATAAATAAATTAAGTTTACAGACATTTCCTTAACCCCTAAAATAGACAACACAATACAATGCATAATAAAAAAAGGGGTGAAAAAACACTTGTGAAAAATCAATATTGAAAATGGAAAAATCTTTCATATAAACACTGTGCCTGGTTTTTACAGACATTTTCAGAGTGTTGATGTTTTGTTATTTAATGCAATAAAATGAACAATTATTTAGGTGTGCCCCGAGTTCCCAAATACATTTTTGGGCCAGAGTGCAAAAATTCTCTCACAAAAGTTATGCATACCTCGAGAATGTTGTGTTTACCTGGAAGCTTTGTGGTTCTTGCGAAATGTCTGATGGAAATAATGTATCACTATAGTACTAAATAGTGGGTTAGTTTTGCGAGCAAATGTAAAAGCACTGAAATGTATTTTTTCCTCATAATTTTTTTTTCCATCAGAGTGCACACAAACATAATAACATTTATAAGATAATAGTATTTGGAATATTTCAACCTGTTGAGGAAATAGAACTCAAAATCCTTATGTCTTGTATTTAAAATCTAGAAAAAGGAAATGTCAGGATTTTGGAGAGTGATCAGTCAGTTCAAGAGGGGATGCTTGTTATCTTCCATTGCCAAGCGAGTGGCTGGTATCCGGACCCTTCAGTGTCCTGGGTGGTCAACGGCACCACTGTGGACAGAGGCGACTACAACACCAGCAGTCTTCAGGACCCCAATGGCCTTTTCAGCTCCACCAGTGTGCTTCAGATGAAAGCAGAGACGAGCACCATGGTGGAGTGTTGGGCATCTGTGTCTGCCGCTCGAGCCCACCAGAGCAGCAGTCTCAAGCTGACTGTAGGTAAGAGTGAATGGATATTAATGAGCTCCTCATGCACATAAACTAATATGCATGAGGTGTTTTACAATCAAAATGTGATGATATAAATGACAGTAATTACAGTGGGTTGTAAATAATTTCTCTCATAGCTACAACATACTGCATAAATGCACTGGGTCAATTTTGTCCATATAAAATTGCCATAAATGTACAAATGTGTTTTGCAGTGGCACCGAATACTCCACAGGACTACACAGTTGTGATCGCTGTGATAGTGTCGGTGTGTACGATCATTCTGCTGGCAGTGCTCATCCTGGTCTTGTACTATAGAAAAAAAGTGACAAGTAAGCGAATCCATTTGACATTTCTCTTAAAAGTTCCTTTTAAAACTCTCCTGCAAGTTATTAAACCAATGAAGAGGGAAGTTAAAGCAGTGCTTGCCATAAATTGAACCAACAGCAAGGACACAATGTAGGTTGAGCTGTCAGCAGTGAGGCAGTTTACAGGTTTTACTGCATCACTCACCTGTCCTGCAATGTGCTTGCACAGGATTTAGGAAAACGGATAAACCGGTTAAGACAGAAAACCTATTAACGAAGTCTTTGTTCTAAAAGTTCTTTGTTATTATCGCTCTTTACTCATTAGCAGTTAAATTAGAGAGATGTTCTAACAAATGTGAGAAAATGTAGAAAATATATTACAGCACGCTCCCTGTACTTTAAAATGCCATTAAAACCCTTAACAGCTGTTTTTTTTTTTTTTTTTTACATATTCATTAAGAATACTGGCAGATTTGAAACTGGGAACTGTCAGCTGTTTTGTCTCCTATTATAAGCTGTCTCATACATTTAACAAGACTTCTGGCATATGTGCAGACAAATGTGTTTCAATACTAAAACATTCAATGCGAATATTTATATGTATATGTTTAATACAATTCAAGAAAATGTTAATAAATGTTTAGAGAGTAAGTATATTCTGCAGTTTTTTTTTGCATGCCTATGGAGGGACATGGTGATGGAAAAAAAAATGTGAGATGGGAGGAAAACATTAGATTTCAATGCTTTTGTGTTTGCTCACAAAACTTTGCAATTGTTCACAAAAACACTGAAATACAGCTTGTCTTCCCATCTCATATTATTTCCATCACACACAAGAGAACATTAAATTTTTTCCCCCACCCTGTCCTTTTGTGCTCCATACATTTTTAAGTCTGTATAGCATGACATTGAGGAACAGCAATGTCATATTGCTGCAAAAGGTATAATTTGACCTATACAATTCCACACACACACACACACACACACACAAACACTGAGATTTACTGCAGTTTTTGTTGGGAGGGCCACTATGGCCAGCTGTTTTGGAACATCAGCAGAGAAGGTTCCACTCCACATTTCTTCAGGTAAACAAGCGGAGCAGATGCTGCGTGCAAAATCCCAAAGCACGAACATCAGTGCTGCTCTCACACCCCATCTGACAGAACCTCCCCTTATTCTCATTACGTCTGACTTCAGTGACAGACACGGTTACATGCTGGATCAGAACCAGATTGGGTCTGCTTTTACAGTAACATGAAGCCAGAATAGCTTTCCACTTTTGGCATTAGTTTCCATCCTCGTGACCCCCTTATACATCTGGAGTCTGCAGATGTTAAAAGAAAGTGTGAACTGCCATTACACCTCATGCACGCATCACAAAAGCACTGAAATACAGCTTGTCTTCCCACCTCATATTATTTCCATTACACACGTTTTGCAAGAGAACATTAAATTTTTTCCCCCCATCCTGTCCTTTTGTGCTCCATACATTTTTAAGACTGTATAGCATGACATTGAGGAACAGCAATGTCATATTGCTGCAAAAGGTATAATTTGACCTGTAAAATTCCTATATATATAACTATATATATATATATATAGTTCGGTCATGAAACGTCTCTAGGTTACGTATGTAACCATGGTTCCCTGAAGGGAACCTAAAATGTTCAGAGAGTTGTCATGATTGATATATATATCTCCACACACACACACACACACACACACACACAAAATGCAACTCTGGAATTTGCTACTGTCTCATATCCTCTTGTTGCACCAGCTACTAAGATGTCACTGCTGGTCAAGTTTGCTACACTGCTAGTACTGCCAGGCATACAAAGACAATAATCATATCACACTATTGTTGTAATATGAACAGATAGCTTTATGTTTGAATGCTTGTTTTTGACAGTAATTGCACACACAAGTGAATGACCTTAATGACTACAACATCTTCTGTAACAACGCAGTACCATTACACATTTTCAAGCAATTGAAACAGCAGCCTTGAAACAAATCATGGAAATTTTGGAGAGAAATACAGCGTTTTCCATAAATTCCAAACACTGCTACAAAATGACATGCTACCCTAGTACTTAGTGTACTACCATACTACTGATATTTCTAGTTCCTTTATGCAAAAGACAATCTGATGTCCTACTTCATTTGCCAGAATGTGGAGTATTCATACAAAATACTGTTTATGATATATACTGCACACTATACAGTACAGTGTATTATAGTGTTCCATTCGGAGCATAGCCACTGACTTTGCAGTCAAATATTGTTTAACATCACTAAACCAACTATACATAAGTTTATATCAATAAAACAATTTTTTATGTTAAATCAAGTAGCAATGGCTTTTTAAGGTTATAATTGCAGGTTAGCACTTTTCACAGTGTGGCTTGAGGAAAAGTTTAATGTATTGCGTTTGTCTTTCCAGCCCCTCTTTGTGGACTGTCAATTTAAGCAGTAGGAGGAGGTCTGTTGCTGATGAAACCAGAGGAAAAGTTAACCTAGGATACCACGCTGAAGATGTAACAAGTAATAGCACCAAAATACATCTCCGAACAGAACACCCAGTGAAATGATGTGTTATGCAAAAATATATGGGGGATTATGTCTAATTTATGTAATATATTTTTACAGAAATTAAACAAGAAAGCAAGTTTTCGGGATATCAAATATACAATGCTAACCAAAAAGTTAGTTAAGTGTTTTTGTAAAATAAAATAAAAAACTTTGCCACAATAAGGCTGGCTTTTTGCACACTGAAAAGAAAATGGGGTTAGAAACAGGTGCTAAAAAAATTTGAATTAACCGTGAAATTTTGAAGTAGAAAGACTGAAATACAGAGTTTTGGCATGAAACTCTAGATGGCGCAGTCCGATAGGTCTAACTCA